GCTAATATACTATGGAATTACGTCTCCTCAAAAAGTATGTTTCGATATTTTCATTATTTCAACATAAAGAAATAATAGCTTCAGTGAGATAAAATTACGAAATCTTGTATATTTTTATTCATACATTTATAAAATCAAAAAATTAAGAATTTTCGTAATCGTTTAATAATTTTCCCTTGAATAAAGTTTATTAAAAAAATTCATCATATTTCTTTTCTTCATTAAAGAACAGTCTTAAGACAAAATTACAAAAACTTGGATTATTTAACTGCACTTGTATTACTGTATCTTTTAATTTTGCATTTAAACTAAAACGGAATTATATAAATATTCTTAAGTAATAGAGTATTATATCAATTCGTTTTGTGTTAAATATTTTATGTAAATTGAACTTTAAACTTTTTTTTAAAAAAAAGAAAATGCTTTTATCTATTTATTATTATTTTTAATTTAACCAAAGCTTTTATTTACAGTAAGCAATTACAAAATTACAATGCGTGTATTGTTTAAGTCTCTTAATAAAAAAAATTAATCAACAAAACTTATTTTAAGCACAAGAATGGGCAATCCATTCATTTTATTCCATGCATTATGCACCAAAAACAATGTACTGGTAGAGGAATAAATGAGTATAATCCATTAGAATAATGATTCTTGAGAATCACTGTACAAAAAATGAGTCAGGAAACACGTTGATAGGCTGCTGTTCTTCGTGGATAGATGAGGGGGGGGGATTTATTAAAACAATTTTGAATGGCCAAGGTATTATGGTTGCTATCGGAGTATAACGCTCCAATTTTTTTTATATTGGAAACCTAAAATGCTTCGATGAAGTATTAATTGTAGTAGTCGAGGATTATAAAGCATTTTAAAAATAATGCAAAAATATTCCTGACCAACATGCGGTCAAAATTGAAAATACATTTTTAATAGTGAACAATAAAGCAATAACAGGTACTTTTCAAGCTGTTCAGAAAGTTTTTACCAGTGATTTCGACACTGTAAAATGATATTCTAACTTGTTTGAATAATAAAGCAGGAAGAAAAGAAACGAAGACAAAAAAAATTTTCACTCGTGATCTTTTTAACATTGTGAATTAATGGAAGATTTTTCTTGTTTCATCATTTTGTAATTAAGTATTATTATTCAAAACACCTAAACCAATCTTTTACGATAGTTATCGCAATACACTTAATTCTCTTACCATTGGATACCTGCAAGTTACGTCATCGTAGGTAAATTCTGGCATTTGTAGATTCAAAAGCCAATCACGTTAGATACACACACATGACGTCGCTTACAGGTATCCAATTAAATCTAGTTTAAATTACGTGGTTAGGCATTATCGCCTCATTTTTCTTAAACTTCAAGTACCCAATTACGCTCTTGTATTTTTAAAACGATATTTAGTTACAAAAAAATTAAATGAGACTATCTACTAAATCAATATTTTTATATTTCTCCCGTTAATAATTTTTTTAATTAACTATTTGAGTCCCTTAGTTTATTAGAACCGTAATAAACTGAATTCAACTTCGTCAGACGAGAAAGATGCCTTATTCGAGTTATTATTTTTGCAAAACTGCCGTTATTAAGTTTCAGTTCTTTTCCGCATGCATTTTATAAAACAAAATAAAGAATATTACCAAAAATAATGTAAACGTTAAAAAAAAAAATCGTAAATGAATATAAGAAAATACAGCGTTTCCGTAACTTATTTTTTGCACAAATTATGCTTTCATGGATGGAATAATTTATTGTAAATGGCGCGTTTTCGGAAAAAACTTATGATAATCCAAAAAAATTTTTTTTTTTAAACTTAGTTTCTAATGCATTTTCAAAACGCCGCGATTTATTAATTATTAAATGTAAAGCTTGAAACATAATCAACAAAAAAAAAATCTTAAAAAATCTAAATGAAATGAAAACCACAATACATAGAGCTAACGTGAATTTTCGAATTCGAACCAAGTTGCTAGAAAATCAAAGTTGTAGAGTTTGTGAGTGTGAAAGTTTTTTTTAAAGAGAAAATACTTTTTAAAATACTTAAAAGCTTATTTCAATTTAAAAAGGACACCAATTCAAAAACACTGTAGTTCATTTCATTAATTATAAGTTTTGACTTATATTTTCAGAAAAAGTTTTCAAAAGTTCCTAAATTATTGGATAAGAATTTTTTTTTGAAAATTACTCAGCAGTATCCCCTTATACCTACTTCATATATTTTTCTTGTCGAAAAAGTTCCCTGTTTATTTTTTTCACCCATAACTGTCAGCAGTCTTGCTAGTCCTTGATAAGTATATGCTACACTTTTAGATAGTGTAGAGTATGCAGAGAAAAAGGAACCTCGTAAAAAAAAANTAAATTAACTATTTGAGTCCCTTAGTTTATTAGAACCGTAATAAACTGAATTCAACTTCATCAGACGAGAAAGATGCCTTAGTCGAGTTATTATTTTCGCAAAACTGCAGTTATTAAGTTCCAGTTCTTTTCTGCGTGCAAATAGAGGCATGCATTTTATAAAACCAAAATAAGAATATTACTAAAAATAATACAAACATTAAAAAAAAAAAACATTTTCGTAAAGGAATATATTGAAACTCACAAAAACAAGAAAATACAGCGTTTCCTTAACTTATTTTTTGCACAAGTTATGCTTACATGGAAGGAATAATTTATCGCAGATTGCAAATGGCGCTTTTTTAGAATAAACTTATGATAATCAAAAAAAAAAAAAAAACTTATGCTAAACTTATTTTGTCATGGATTTTCAAAACACCAGGATTTATTAATTATTAAATGAAAAGTTTGAAACATAATCAAAAACATTTTTTCTTAGCTAAATGAAATGAAATCCACAATACATAAAGCTAATGTGAATTTTCGAATTCGAACCAAGTTGCTAAAAAATCAAAGTTGTAGAGTTTGTGAGTGTGAAAGTTTTTCTTTAAATAGAAAATAATTTTTAAAATACTTAAAAGCTTATTTCAATTTTAAGGGGCACCCATTCAAAAAACACTATAGTTCATTTTAATAATTATAAGTTCTGACTTACATTTTTAGAAAAAGTTTTCAAAAGTTCCTAAATTATTGGATAAGAATTTTGTTTTGAAAATTACTCAGCAGTATCCCCTTGTACCTACTTCATATATTTTTCTTGTCGAAAAAGTTCCCTGTTTATTTTTTTCAGCCATAACTGTCAGCAGTCTTGCTAGTCCTTGATAAGCATATGCTACACTTTTAGATAGTGTAGAGTATGCAGAGAAAAAGGAACCTCGTAAAAAAAAAGGGGGGGGGGAGTGGAACTAGCACAAGAATGTCAATCTATCACCTCCAGTTTTTGTCTAGGTGCATCACAACAAAAAGAAGTAAAAAAAAAATGATAAAAAAAATACGAAAGCGCGATCGAGGAAGAAGAAAAAAATAGTTATTATAAGAACATCTAGTCGTTCACCTCTAAAACATATAAAAATAGATATAGTAAACACCTAACACAACTTTCAGACTAAAAGATTGATGGGGGGGGGGATGATTCTATTGTTCACCCACCCTCCCGTACTTAAAGCTCGTTAATTACTTTAATGACTGCATTTCTGTCTTAACAGTAGCGAAGAAAGGAGATGGATTAAACAATTCTTTAAGATACAATTAAAGAAGTACACACAAGTTATTCAGAATAGCAGTGTTATGTCTATAAGACAATAAGTAGATAAGTAAGCAAAACAATAAGTAGATTGATAATCCTTGAATGATGGAAGAAGCTTGCCTTTATAAGTTGATTTTTTTTTTTCAATTTTTCCTTGACTAAAATTACAATCAATGATCGATAATAGAGTCGGAAAATACGACTAATATAACAATAGAATGCAGTCTTTAAAGGTTTGCATACACTAAAACAGAATAGAACTTATATATACTTTTTTAAATTGCTTTTAATGTTTTAACTTTTTCCTTAAAGGTGTTCAGGGAAAGAAGGAAAAAAGATTTTGTGGGCCGAGGTGAATTTAGCTTTTGTCCCCGATAACAACGTAATTATTTGCTAGTGTAATAAGAGCCATACCAATTAGTCTTAAAAGTTAAATGACAAAGTATGTGCATATAATGTATTTCAATAAAGAAACAGTTTTGAGTTTCACTCTGAGTCTTCCTTAAAAAATTAAATTATAGCAGATTTTCGTCTTTTATGAATAAAAAATATTTCATACTTAATAAATATTTCTTTATTTTTTGAATAAATCTTCGAACTACATTTGTATTTAGCATGTTTTAGTGAGACAAAAATTTTACTTAATAAATATTTCTTTATTTTTTGAATAAATCTTCGAACTACATTTGTATTTAACATGTTTTAGTGAAAGACAAAATTTTACTTAACAAATATTTCTTTATTTTTTGAATAAATCTTCGAACTACATTTGAATTTAACTTGCTTTAGTGAAAGACAAAATTTTACTTAATAAATATTTCTTTATTTTTTGAATATATCTTCGAACTACATTTGTATTTAACATGTTTTACTGAAAGACAAAAATTTTAATTTAAAAAAAATCGAAAGGCTTAAAATAATGATTTCATTTCTTTTAAGAAATAGCGTTATAATTATTGAACTTATATAAGTTTTAATAGCATGAATCAAACAATGTAATAAACTAAGTTGGACGCAAATTAAATTATGTTTCATTTGAAAACCACCTTATCTAAAGACTCAGAATTAATTATTAATATCTAATTATAATGGACTTGCACATAAATGTTTGTGATTAAAGAATTGATTTGATTATAAATGCTCATTTATGATCAAATCAAATTGCGATATTTTGAATCACATATCTATCTGAATTTTGAATTATTAATAGTTGAACAGTGGAATGTATTTTCTTTATTTAAAAAATAATTATGGAAGAGTAACATATACCTAAATTAATGAATATAGTTAATTAGTATGAATACATTTATTACTCATCAAATAAATGAGGAAAATTAAAATAAAATAATTTACCGTATGTTTCTTTGGAGTAACAGGGCGTACAACTGAGATGGTGAACTTGGAGGTGCAGCAGGAGGTGGATATGGGAAATTATTTTCCCGAGAAAGGCAATCTAGAAAATAGACAAATAAATAAAGATATTTATACATTCTAATATAAACATATTGCATAAGTAAGATATTAGGAAAAAAAAACATTGAACAAGGTACTTGTGTGCAGAAAATAATATTTCGAAATAAAATGATGTTATTGATGGGCTAATTTCTAAATATATAACTCAAATTTTTTTTTATTATGTATTAAAATATTATTTAATATTCATGTTTTAAAAATTGCAAGCATCGTATTAGATATTAATATGTTTTTTCCAACATTTACTAAACTAAAAAAAATTAAGCTTCACAATTTTAAATGTAACTTATTTAAATTCGGGTGATTTGTCAATAAAGAAAAAAAAATACTGGAAAATCCTCTTAAATCTAATGCAATAAGGTATATGCATGCAATACCTTGTTACACGTTGTTCTTACTTGTATATTTGCAAAATACAACAACATATAAAGGTTAATATATATGTTTTTTAAAAATCTTTCAAGATAATTCTCATACGGCTAAAACAAAAATATAACGAGCATTTTAAAAACAGAAAAAAATAATGTTTACTATATGTTCTAAAATTAATAAATATTTTAAATTTTGCTTCTTATTTAATTATTTTGAATTGTAGGTTAGACTAGGAAAGAGCATAAACTACACGTTGAACCTCAGATTTAAATTCAAATCATTAGTATTTTGCTAGTAATTAGCATGATATTAACTAAAATATTTTATATATATATTAGAGCAAATAGTCAATAATTAATGACTAATTTCGCTATATCATAGAAAATCAATGTTACAGCAATGTACGTGTCCAAAAAAATAATAATAATAAAGTAATATTTTTTTAATAAAAAATTCATTCAACCGAGTCGATATAAGGAAATAAAATTTAAGTTCTAAATTGAATTTTTAAGAATCATAACACAAAAAGTGTAATCTGGTGTAAATCTGGTTTGAAAATCTGAAGTTTTGTTCTATCAGATACAGGTGGTTTTCTCAAAAACTTTTTCACTGAAAGGAGTTAAAATGGTTGATGAATTACGATATTACAGTTCGCAATCCCACCGACTTTCAAATAAAAATTAAAAATATTTCATTGTTCTGCATTATTCAAAATTCAATTCTGTACCAAAAAATCTGTACTATTCATATTGGAGAGAATAGTTTGACCTGAACAACTTAATAACTTTATCATCACTTAGAGAAGACTATTAAGATATTTTTCCACTTTCGCGTCACAAGGACTCATGCATCATAAGATAATCATTTTTGTAGTACATTTATTTTTTATTGGTTTCTTGGTAGTATATGGATTAAATCAAGAATATGGCTAAAATTCTGTTGATGATTAAACGAAGGATTCCAAAGTCAGGAAAGAATACTTTCTGATTCGCTGCCCTCATCATGCGTTTATTTTTAATCTTGTTACAGCCAAAACTATACAAGTACTGGAACTATTATTTTGGAATTATGATCAGCATTTAATGCATGACAGAACATTTAAGATTTTTAGAGCCTGTATAACACTATAAGTATTTACATGGAATCTGAATTTAAAAAATAATAACACGACGATTTATAAATAATAACAAAAAATATACAACGACATACACAGGGCTAATGACAAAAGGTCGCCGATAATAATTTTTAATTTCTTTATTCAGATAATTACTACTACTAAATAACTAATTTTCGGATAATTACTAATACTAAATAACTAATTATTCAGATAATTACTAATACTAAATAACTATTATTGCATTTTTTGACGCATTAACTTTAATTTAAACATCCACTACCACACAGCATTTGACCTACCTATATGTTGCTTTTACCACATATTAACATTCATAATTCATATTCAAAGTCCACCCACCCTAACTGCAGACAAACATTTGCTGGTATTAGCAGAGAATCGTGTAGATCAGTGTTTCTCAAACTTATGACTTTTGCGTACCCTTTCTAAATTTTTCGTACCGCTGTGTACCGGGTACCACTAAAAAAAAATGAATGTATTTTTTTTAAAAATAGGTTTATTTTTCTTTTTTGGTACTAAGTTTTGTTAATAAGTTTATTTGCATCAGTGAGAAGGATGATATTCTTTTTGCTGTGATAACAGCTGCTGTGATAAAAAATTTTTTTAACAAAAGTTAAAAATCACAACTGGCAGTTGTCACCACTAATTATTAACTGTTAACTCTGCAAATAATAGCCGATAGAAAAAAATACGCAATCGTCAATTTTCATGGCTAGCTTTGTTTTTAAATAATTTTTTTTTGAAATTTTCGTTTGTTGCAAGATATTTCGCATAAGAACGCGTACCCCCGCTAAACTGTTCCCGTACCCCTGGGGGTAAGCGTACCACACTTTGGGAAACACTGGTGTAGATTAATTAAATTTATCACTGGTACTAATTATTTATCAAAATTAACATACATTGATTTTGTTAAATAAAAACAAAATAAGTGCAAGACCAAAATACATAGTTAAAATTTATTTTTAAAATGTTTAATACTGCACGCAATCATTGAACACCTTTTTCTTAGCTCAGTCTGCTGAATTTTATTAAATGGAGTGAAATAACTGGAAAATGGATACTCAACTTAAACTACACAACATCTGTTATCATCCATCAGGGAGAATTTAGAATTGCATTAAATCAACCATATCCAGCCCAAAGGCTATCTACATTCTTCTTTTGACGGGACAACATTAAATAAATCATTTTATACTAGATCACCTTCTTCATACTAGAATTTTTTTTTCTTTCTGATAAATGAAAAAAATGACTACAACAAAAAGATTTTCGCATTTGACTGTTCCGATAACATCTGGATTTTGTAGCAATAAACCAACAATTTAATATTGATTGAATTTCGAACTCAAAGCAACAAATAAGTGTCAATTAAAATGTATATTGTATTATACACCGAAGAGCCATTACATTATGGCCACCCTCCATCCATAACAATGGGCTCGCCCAGGAACAATGTTTTCATGGGGCACATTAGGACCCAAAATCCTCATAGAACAATACCTGACGTCTGTAAGCTACTGAACATAGTTGCAGACCAGGTTCACCCATTCATGGCAACAGTTTTTCCTGCGGGGGATGGTGTTTACCAACAGGATAATGCACCATGTCATAAGGGTCGAATCGTCGAGGAACATTCCAGTGACTTTCAAGTCATGTCTTGGCCCCATAATTCACCTGATCTTAATCCAAAGGAGCATTTGTGGTCCTACTTGGAAAACCAAATTCGTGTTGCCAAGCTACCCCCTCGCAATGTGAGGGAATTGCAGGACCAGTTGGTGAGCGCTTAGTGCCAGATGCCTCAGACTACCTATCAGCACCTTGCGGAATCAATGCCACGGCGGGTGCTAGCAGTTTTGAGGGCTAAAGGTGGTCCTATGTGTTATTAGCAGGGAGGTCATAATGTAATGGCTCTTCGGTATATATTGCAGCGCAAAAAATTGACCGATGATTTGAAAAATCCATTTCACGGATTTTGAGAAAAGAGATTGACTTACTGCATTTCGCTGAGAAAACTAATAATTTTCTCTCATCAAACTTCAAAATCAGTTAATAAATTCATTAACAGATGGCTACTGGTTGGAAAAATTATAAAGCAGTTTTCTGACTGAAATATTTGTAACCATGTCTGTAGACTTTTCCTTCAGATTGCGATACGTTTCCGAAGCAAAGAGTTACTTTAATCTAAATTAAAAGCTGTTAACTGAGGAAAAACAGTTTCAGTTAACCGTTGACACATTTTGTAATTAGTTTTGAATCTTTTGGTGTGGATCAATATTAATCAGCAAATCGTATATTGTTCTCTCTCCTTTTTTACCTCTTCAAATTTAATTTTCATAACGTGGCTCATGACGGGACACAAAGCATATATGATATAGTATTTTTTGATTGTACTGGATTTAAGGGTACAAAATTTGGATATTGCAATGCAGAGCAAAATTTAAAATGCAAGATTTGTAATAATAAGCACTAAATATAATAAAATCAGAATGCTACAAGCGATGTCTTACTTTAAAAAGAGACAGAGAATGAGGGAAAAAAACACCATTGAAACAAATCATTATTTACAAAAATAAAATAAACATCTGCTGAAAGTATATTATAATAATTAAATACTAATGATCTTTAAAAGTAAAATTAATGTATTGAGCATAGCTAATTTAGAAAACAGAAGGCAATGCAAATGATAAAATACAAATTGTAATGGACTTCAATTCAAATTTATTTTCTATTATAGAAGTATTAATATACAATTGCGAATACGAATATGAATAAATAAAATTTACCATAAAAAAACTTTGGTTTATTTTAATTTACTGCACAAAACATTAGTTTTAAACTCGTTTTTGGGATTAATTATTATTATTGTATTCATTCAATAAATGCAGAAGAACAATTCTGTTAGAAGGAATTTGATAGGATTTAATTGAAACGAAACGAGAAAAATCTACAAAAAATGTCCTAAAAACAAACAGAAAAAAGGCCGAAAAATCTCCCAAAATACCCTACAGTAAAACAAAATTATAACAAAATAAAAAAAAAGGAAAAAAAAAAACTTCCAAAAGAGCAGAATTGTCCAAAAATTTGAATAAATGCAACTGTCACCAACACTTAGGCCTTAATTATAACAATAACGTGCATGAATTAAGCGATTGTTAAATGTTCACATGCACATACCCACAATTGTTTTTGTTTTGGGGTAATCTCTCAAAAGAAAGTCTGAAGTTTTTTTTTAATAATAGTATGCGCGATAAACCAATGGCGTAAATATCACCCCCGCAACCACAGAGGAGGCGCACGAGGTTGGAGGGCATATACCCTAGAAAAATAACGCTATAAATTACAATGAGAAACGTGTTGGTTCAGGAGACAGAGCGTTCGCGTTCCAATCAGTTGAACCCGGTTCGAATCCCAGTGAAGGCTGGTCGATACGAATTCCACAACCGGCTCGCAACGACCACATTGCCAACGTAAAT